TAGCACCAACCGGTGCTTGTTTACTGGACAGGCTGCATTTCAGCTCTGCAAATTCCACCTTAACAGTTCCCAGGCTGTCAGACAACACCACGCTGAGGAAAAAAGGATTTCGGAGAGGGGGCAGGAACAGAAACTGGAAGTAGAAAGTAGTTCTCCAGTGAGCTTAGATGTCTAGTTCAACCTGAGGTACTTTTTTGTGAAAAGACCAAAGATTTCCTTTTGTCTAAATTAGTAGTTGACATACAGACGTAGCCCAGATTTTAACCTGGTCATCTTTAGGCCTTTTTGTGACCTTTCAATCATCAAACGCCTGCTGACCGGGTCCCTGGAAAAGGTCAGACCAGAGCCACAGGAGAACAAGAGTCCTGTCCTTCATCCTGTCAACATCCGTCTCCGTACCCTCATAAAACCAGCTATGCTGCAAGGTTATTCCCAGTTCAGATTTCAGTTTCACCTGTAATGAACCACAACTAGATATCGACTCCGCTCACACTCTAACCTGTTATCTGGAGCCACCAGAGTTTGTATAGCACTGTTTTTTTTTTTTTTTTTTTTTTTACTTGACCAAACAAACCACACCGCAGCAATCCTCCTAACACTAGAGGTGAATCTTCCCTTGATGTCACCTGCTCAAGAAACCAAATATGTGACACGACTGGACTGATGAAGACATGACAGGCTAATCCATGAGAGGAGACAGGAATAATGAGGGGATGAAGGGGCTGAACAAACAGGCGTATGACTGATCTGCTTCTCACACCGAGGCTGACGAGACTCTGCAGTGCGATTTGTGTATTTTGTGGCATTTGGACATTATTATCTTGGAGCAAAGATGAAGACACAGCAGCTGAAAGCTTCCCTCACAATGTCAGCGCAGAGCCTCCCCCTCCGAGGCCTCTGCAATGACCTGCAAAATTAACCACTATAATGGCATCAGCACAGGCACAACAGACAGACAGCCACACGGAGTAAATTTAAAATAGGTTATGATGAAATTTACTGCAAAGCTTAACTAACACCTTGAAAATCAAAGTAAAAACCTCATCCTAATTTTGCAACAATGTGATTTCCGGTACAGCTGCTCAGGCTAATATGAAAGAGAGTATTAAGGAAGGTTACAAGGTTGAATGATGCTGCATTTCTTAAAAAACTTGGGAAAACCCAACATATTAAACAAAAAAAAAAAAGACACATAAAACATATTCCTGGGAGCACACGCTTAAGAAAATGGCATTATCTTGGGATCTCGCATAAACAGCAGCGGTTTAACTCAGCGAAGAGCCGGGTCCTATGTAAACAGGAGAGAACAGATATGCTAAAAACAACAGCATGGTGAGGAAAGAACAACAAATACAGCAGCTCGTTCCCACACACTCACATCAACACATCAAATGACAATGTGGCTTTCGCAGAAAAGACAAATAGATGCTGGGTCACATTCGCACAAAAAAAAAAAAAAAAAAACTAAAAAAAAAGAAAACTAAACTATCAGCCCGGTCTTTGCTTATATAACCAAACATTAGATTCCAAAAGGAAACAAAAAAGGGGACGAAATCCTACATCCTTTTTCAGTGTTCAACACATTCTTTGCACGTTTTCATTCCTGATGCGATTGCTGAGACGACTGGTGAAGGAGCTGAGGCTGAACCATATTACGAGGCCGTTCATGTACTTTCATGGGGTTTTTTTAAAAATGGCGTGCAATTTAATATTCTCTTTCTAAAGTTGGATACACCACTGATGGCCCAGATAAAGTGTGGGACATTTCATTTTTGTAATTTCTGGAGCATACTGTGCAAGTCTCTTTTAGGCTTCAACAGTAGACTTATATTCTGTTTATTTACACATTATAGAGACGGGAACATTATATCTCTATGTGGTAACTGAACCTCATTTCATCAACATCAACTATGGGCATTATTCTGCCGCTTCAACAGCCTCCACTCTTCTGGTTTCAGGCTTTCCACCAGATTTTAGGAACCGGCTGCAGGGATTTGTTCCCATTCAGCCACAACAGCATGAAAAAAATGACACGGCTGCATTGTATTGCAATCCATTGTCCACCACCTGTGTGAGTAAAGCATCTTTTCTCCACTTCACTATCTTTACGTGCCAGGTCAGTTTTTTGCCAGAAGCTCGACTCTGAAGCATTAAAATTTACTTGTGAATGGATCTAAATGCCTCTATTTATTGGCAAGTGATTTGTCTTTATGTACATATCGCTGTATGGACAATGTGCAGAGTACAGTACCAAGTATCCATTACCATTACTGATCCCATAAAAAGGTGGAAATTTCCTTTTAAAACAGTGAAAAAAACTACACAATATTGAAACCGTTGCACCTGGAAGACAGACCGCTTTGAGACCCTTTGCTTCTGATGAGCTTCTAGTGAGTGGACACGAGGTTTCAGTGAGGCCAGGTCTGTGTTCCAGTTCATCCCAAAAGAAAAGGTGTCGGATGGATCCACAGCGAGCTCAGAGAACCATGACTTCATGGACCCGGCTAACTGGAACGAAGGGCCGAGACCAAACCACGAGCTAACGAGCTACAGCCCCAGACCAAAACCGCAACAGGACGTACGTGGACAGGCATCTCCGTTCATTCTTTAAGCTTACAGTGCCCATCACAATTTAAGGATAAAACCCTTCTGAGTTAAACCGTATCATTTTGTTTTAGGGAGGCATCTTTATAAAAAAAAAGGCACCTACTGTAGAGGAGCTACACTGCTGGAAGGAATGTTTATGAGCTACACAGGGCCTGATAAAAACAGTAAATAGAGTAAACAGCCAGAACAATGAGGTGGGAGTTAGGAGCTGCGGCAGCACACACACACACACACACAGTTTGGGGTTAATACCACCGAGTTGTAGAACTCAGTGTACGATGCAATTAAGTGTACCTTTAAATAATGGTGGAAAATTAAAGCCATTTGTGTAGGCACCTTTATTACAGACGGACTCCACCGGCCCTGGAGAGATGTTTCGAAAGTAATATTGATGTTGTTAAAATACTACCAGAGGCATTTAGATTTTATGAGGAACATGTAGGCTCAGCAGCACATTAAAACAATATCCCCTGAAACTACCAACTGTAAGCTCATTACAAGTCCAGATGAAGTCGAACAAACGATCTGAAATCAGTCTTCCCAAAGCTAAGGGCCAACACGTTTTCCCCCTCCGTAAAAACAGCCTAAATTTCAGGCATTTAAACAGCAGTTTGCTCTTCAGTTTATTATAAAATAATAAGTCCTAAATATGATACATAGCCGTGGTTGCAAATGTGCTTTAAGGACGAAATTAAGAAGCCGAGAGCAGGATTTATATTAGCTGCAGATCTGAGCTGTTGCTGAAAAGATGTGATGATTATACCCAGTCACAAATAAAACACGAAACCTCATATGTCAGATAAACATCCTCTGCATTCATAGAAGGTCATTATGTTGAAGAGTCTGTTGATGGAAGACTTTCATAAACAACAAATAGTCACACACTCCATCCTGACGGGAACCCACTGGTTCTTCTTTGGAAATACACTTCCAACACTTACAACACTTACAACAATTAACATTCATTTCTAATGAAGTAAGAGTGAAACACTGAGCCTCAACCTGAGAAGTTTATTCCTAAGAAGAACGCCGTGTCTGCCGTTTGGGCACATTTTGGCTTCAGTGAAGATGGAACCGAACAAAAAGAAAGTCAAATACAAAGACTGCAGAAAAACAATTTCAGCCACCGAAAGATGACGCCACCAGTTTGATTAACGACTTGGAAAACAGTCACATTAGCAAAAATGAAGAGCACAAAGCTCAAAAAAAAAAAAAAACTGTGGTAAAAGTTTGCAATATTGATTTGAAGTCATATCATCCTGCCCTTCTACAGACCATCCAGTTTTTGGAAAACACTTCAATTGGAGTCCAACATAATTGGTAAAGTTAAACTAATGGGAGGAATATTTGGGAAGACAAAAATAAAAACAGGAAACTCCAACCAACTCCAACTGCAGAGGAGAGTCTGACTGTAGTTTGCATAGATGCACTTGTGTGTTAAACACTGGAGGAGGATCAAGCCAGGTGCGCTTTCCCTGGCAACCAGCAGCTAAGTGTTTGTCTACCAATCACTAGTTCAAGTCGTCAATTAAGCTATTTAATGTTTGCTGAGGAGACAGACTGCAGCCATGGCGACAGCAAGTTACTGGACTGACAAAAAAAAAAAAAACAGCTCCACTTTTTTTGTGCTTAAGTGCCCTTTAATGCCCCTTTTTCAAAAACATTCAGGCAAGCAGGAGTGAATAAGACCTGACTGGATATCATTTTATCCTAAGCCCCCAACCTCCACCAAATGCCCCTCTGCTCTTAGCAGCTGCCCCTCCAGTTAATCCAAACGCCTCTCTGATCAGCCAAAATGCACCTGACTTCTTGACCTAAGGCTAAATAGTGAACGCAATGACCTTCAGTCAAAAATGAGACTTAAAGGCCTCGGTATGCTTCACATGATCTAGGTCAGACCACATCTGAAGGCAGAATGTCCATACTTATTAGGAATGGCCAAAAATGTCTGAAGGCGTGGCTGCATCACACTGTCTCCCTGATTTCTCCCCAAGAACTCTGGATTTTTGTGTGTGTGTGTGTGTGTTTATGTAGTTTTGACATGATGGATCACACACTTTTGGACAGTCCCTCTTCAAGAGCATTATCTGTTCTGCACCTTCATGTAAACACAAAAAGTCACTTAAGCAGCTGTGTGAAGAATTGCCCTGCATGAGATGGTGGTACCCCCGTTTTCATTTTCCCTCTTTCCCCCCCGACTAGAGAGTGAGTGCGTGCCACCGCTGTGAGCAGCTTTTTGACAATGAGGGAAAACAAGATCAGCAGCAGGAAGCTCTAAAAGGAAATGCCCATGTTGAGCCGTGCCTTGTTGCGCGCAGTGGAGGTGTGGAGCACCAGCTCTCTGTGCAGATTCAATTCAAAACTTTAGAAACACGCCACATTGTTCTACATACCTGCTTCCACAGAAAGCTGTCCATGCCGTTTAACATCCAAGAAACAGCCACGTGGATGGCGGAAAGAATAACTCCAGTGATGACCGCGGCGCGCATCCTGACGGGCAGCAGAGTGTAGATGACATGGATGAAGAACACGGTCCACCAGATCCCCTCCGAGGCACTTCTGGGTTGCACGAGCAGCACTCCGATCACCTGGATCACCAGCACCACCAGGATGACCACATAGCACACAATCCACATATGGTCCTGGTGAAACCCGTTCCTGTTGCAGACCACCATGAGTATGAGTGTGAGGAAGATGGCAACGGAAAAGACCACCATATAAGTTACGCTCGGCCTCGCCGCCCCGCCGGAGCAGTGGAAACCCAGCATGACCGTGAAGACCAGCACCAGCACCGCCATGAGCATGGTCAGACTGCTCTGGTTGAGACGGAAAAAGTAGCGCTGGTAGAGCCGCTCCAATTTCTCCGACTGGAACTTCTTGGATTTGAAAACGTGCATGACGCTGGTGCAGCACGCCACTAAAGAAAAGTTAACATCGGGCATGACCTCCTCGTCGTTGGTCTTCGGCTTGGCTCTCCGCTCCTCCAGACCCAGCTCTACAGACTTGGGTCTCACCTCGTCCTCTGGGCGTTTAGGGGACGCGCGGCCTCGGTTCTCCTCGCCATGGTCCTGCCAAGCCGACCTGGACCTGAAGCTGACCCTGCTGACGGTCGTAGAGGCTCGGCCGGGCTGCCGGTGGTCCGGATCATCCTCTTCCTTCCACCGACTGTTAGTCCGGGTGAGCTTCTTGCGCGGGGATCTGGCCGAGTATGGGCACCCGTTGGCCACGGACTCAGACTCTCCCCAAGCTGATCTGTGCTCGGTCCCTCCCCTCAACACAGGCGCACCGACTCCGGGTGGGCTGACACTGTTTGATCTGGACATAGTAGTTAAGAGAACGGGAGGCAACAACAGAATGTGCTCAAACTAATAAACACTGCATTAAAAGTTTTGTTCCACTGAAAAATAATGTCAGGACACAAGGATGAGGCGCATCACGTGTCTGCTATAAGTTGAATTTCCCATAGTTGGCCACAATCTGAGCGTTTTAAAATCTTTAAAGTCAAGTCAAAACAAACTATCACAGGTTTTTTTTTCTCCCACTTTTAGAGGCAAAAATTCATTCTAAAATCTTTAAAATCGACATGGAAATGTCCAAAGAAGTAACCAGAAGGGGTGAAAAGCTCTGGGAATAAAAAAAACAAAACAAAAAAAACAATTGAACATGCGCAAAAAGTCACTGGGGAGCCAGTTTCGCCACGAGAGGAGGGAAGATTAGATCCAGGTGGGTTTGGCTCTACATCATTGGGCCCAATTAACTAACATCCATGGAGAGGTTGCACGGCAGCGCGCGCTGTAGATGACAAAACCCAATACACAAATCAGATAGTCCCCAGAGATCATAGCGCAACACCATCAATTACGCCGTGAATCCGTTATATCTGCGGACATGTTTCCTGTATTCTTGTAAACGGTGTGTGGACAGTGAAGACGGAGGTGGGGGGGGATAAAAAAGGCGAATCCCATGTTGGCGGTTCTCATCTGGTCCCGTCAAGTCTTAATTCACCTGTACTGAGCGAACATCGCAGCACTGGACGGCGGTGGGAGCCTCACGTTTGGCCAAAAAGCATCATCACGATCCTCGCACACTTGCGCTGATCTGAGCGGAGGAGAAAAACTCAGCCGCTCCTCCTTCTCCTCCTGTGGCAGCCACAAAAAACAGCCCCTTGGTCCATGGTACAGCTGTAGTGCTACGACACGGTCAATTTATCGTCAACCTTCTGCGCTGAATCAATGTCCAACAGCTGTCCATCACTGTCCAATTCCCCAGAGAGAGAGAGAGAGAAAGAGAGAGAGAGAGAGAGAGAGAGACTCCTGATCTGATTTGTAGCCAGACTCCAACGCGCAGCGAATCCGCGGCCGTGCAGCGGCAGTATTTCATGAAGTGTCTACCCGGTGCCAAAGTGCGCCCTCGCAGCCTCGGACAATCCGCTCGGTGTCTGTTTGGAGCGTGGCATCATAACATATTTACCGCTGATTGCTGCTTTAATGGCCATTCAACCAAGTGTGCTTCCTGCTGTCCGCCTCTACGCCGCGCTGCCATTGGAAAGAGAAGAGGGTGAGTCACGCTATGGCGCGTTTTCATTGGACGCCAGGCTGGTCAATCCACGTCAGAGGCTGCGCGACCCCCGGGCGCTTTCGATGAATGGGCGGGTCTGTACTCACAGCTGGATAGCCCTCACACACACACACACACACACACACTGGTGGTTGAAAATTGGACTCCTGGACTTGGGGTCCAATAACTTAATGAGGATCATTTTTACACAATTATTCTCATCTTTCAAAATAATTTAAATAATAAAAAAAAACTTTTTTAAAAAAATATATTGAATAGATATGTTTTGTCATTGTGAAGCTCTTCTTTGATAACTTTTATTTTGAAAAAAAAAATCACTCAGTGGATTCAATTATTTATCAATTAGAAATGTCAAACATGGTTCAAGACCCCTCACATATGAATATTTGATGCTTTCATGTAAATTAAATGTAGTTTAGTTTCAGATTGTTGGTCGGACCAAACAAGAAAAATGAAGATGTCATCTTGGATTCTGCCAATGTTAATTTTTCACTATTCTTTTGATATTTCATAAACTAAATGATTAATAAATGCTTGGAAAAGCAATTAACAATTCCCTTTACAGCTTTACATCTTTGCTTGCTTACCTACAGTGAGATGGGGCTCTTTAATCACTTTATAGAAGAAAGGGGTGGATAAGTTGTTTCACCTCTTCCACCATTTACACCAGCAGTGAGTCTGTGGACATTTTACATAGGAGAAAAGAGCATTTTGTGTCACTTAAGTTCACATTGTGTGCTAACGAATAGAAATTGGAGGCATGTGACGAGGAGCCTCGTGTGTTCGCTGAGACCGGCTCACCTCCAGCTGAATTCCCTTTGCCCCTTTTGGAATTCATCGAGGGTGAAACACTGTTAACGGAGAGAACAGGAGCCTCCATTCAGCACCGTCTTCATCAAATAAAAAGGGAACTCAGATATAAATCAGAGACAAATTTATCTTGATTCAAGTTGTGCAACTTATTTTCTCTGCTTGTCTTATGACTGCTTGTTTGCTTGCTCGATCTGCTGTTCTGTCCCTTTTCTCTCTCACAAACACCTAACACAATTTATTGTTGAATAACAAGGAAACAGAGATCTTGCCATTTTAAACTCACGAAAGAAACAGATTGATGTGAAAAATCCGGTTAATGTACAGTTTTGAGGTACTTGTACTTTACTTGAGTACTTCTGCTGCTTTATACTTCTTCTCCTCTAAATTTCAAGGAGAAATAATGTAATTTATGCATTTATTTTACTGCTGAATTTACCCGTTACAGTACGAAAATATGCAGACAACATTACAATCATATGTAACTGTCAAACATACCGTATTTAACCTGCTGCTGTTACATCTGCTTTCAGGCACCAGATTTCTGATCCTGGCAGCAGGAATTTCATCCCATTCAGCAACAGGAGCGTTCATGAGGTGCAATACTTGATGCTGGGTGATAAGGCCTGGCAGTTAACGCCAAGGCTCTGCACAGACCAGTCAAGTTCTTCCACACAAAAACTCAGAAAACCATGTTGAAACAGGACGAGGCCTTCCCCAAGCTCTTGCCACAAACTTGGAAGCAACTCCCAGACCAGAAAAAGCACAAACATATAAGAGGCGTCCACATACTTTTGGCCACATAGTGTGCTTTGGACATTAAGATTTTACATAAAAAAGCACTGATCAGCTTATAAATAATGATGTATATAGTCACAGATGACACAAACAGACCCAACAGAATATAAAGTAGCTAAAATTAGCTCCTGATTTAGCTGATAAACTTCCTCACATGTCTGAAAGCCCACAGAGAACAGTGTGGAGTCTTAAATTACCATTTGGTATTAACTGCCACTTCGTACCAATCAATAACATTTAAGCACTGAAACCACAGTGAGGTGTTTTGATGAGGGGGAATAGAGATCATGTGGAGCTAAAATCTAAATAAATCAAATTTACACCGCTTCACAGTCTGATGTGGAATATACGTGTGTGTGAGTGAGTGTGTGTGTGTGTGTGTGTGTGTGGGTGGGTGCATTTATGTGTTTCCTGCTTTCATCTGCTGTCTCACAGTGATTGAAACCACACACATACTGTATGTTGTGTGTGCTGATTTGACACAGAACGCTACTGCCATCATCTGAATGTTAAATGAACTTGTTCAGCAGCAGTTTGTCATTATACACAAGACGCACACATGCATTAACACACTCACACACACACACACACAAACAAACACGCACATTTAACCTCATTACAACCTGCTTTTTCAATTTCCACTCAAATTTGCTGTGGTCTATGTAAACTGTGGTTATTTAAAGGGTTATTTCACCCAAATCCCCGTGCAATTAGCTCCAGTTTTGCTTGCAGAGGTTTTCATACCTCTGTTGCTGAGGCTGCTGCTGTCACACTGATGTTATGAAAGTGAATTACATTTTGTCTGTGGTGCTCAAAGCAATGAGGTATGGCATTGGAAAAAGTTCAAGTTGAACAATCTCCCCCAGTTAATTACTAAAATCAGGACAGTTCTCAGTGCTATTCAGCTGCATATATTCAAAATTAAAACAGGCACTAAACCAGAAAAACACATCTACCAACAGGGATCTGGTACAGGTGGTTAGATGCCATGGAGTGAGTGGAGAAATATGTTTTGATTTGCAGTCCGCTGGATGAACTGACCCTTTAATGCAAGAAAAAAACCTGTGTCAGTTATTTAACAGGATTAATGATAAAGTAGAAGGAAATTTTGCCATGTAACATGAAAGGGAAGTGTATGTGATCATCTTCTCCCATGCACGTGAGTGAATTTATGAGTGAATTAGAGAATAAAAACACAAAAACTTGTTCCCAGTGTAATGTTGCCATTTGTTTTTCCCTTCTCAAGTATTTTTAACACAGTGGAATCCAGTTGAACTAAGCAGAAGACGAAAGAAGTATCATGGATGTAAGGAAAACAGCTTGAGGAAAAACCTGCAACAACATTCAGCTGACTGAATACACACGCTTTGTTTTCAGCGGCTTTATCTTCAAAAATCCCTCTTTCCAGAAACAGCATAGAATAAAAAACAGACAAACGAAAAGAAAGAGATGAGAACAACGTGTGCTAAAGTTGGAAGTTCGCTAAAGAGAAGCTAACAAGAAGTGACTTAGTACGGATGCAGATGACAGACACTGTATAGACCAGGAACTGAAACAGGAACAGTCAAATAATAAAGCACCGTGGCTCAGAGAGCATCGCTATGACCTCAAACTGATGAAGCTGAAGATTGAATGATATGACCAAAAGCTCCAGAACAGCCACTTAATGGACCACGTGGCAGGATTGTACTGTCACCAGAAGCATGTTGCTCATGTGCATAATTCTGTTGGCCTGTTAACAGTATTAATGTTGTTAATATGAATGTGCCAACATTAGCTGAAGAAGAAGAGAAGAAGGAGGAAACACATTGAAATCAAAATATTCAACAAGCGCAAGAGGTGAGGAGAGAAAAGGAAAAGATATTGGAATTGTTCCAGAGAAGGGAAATAAAATGGGATATGGTTAAGACACACTGCCCATGTACAGTATGTTTTTGCTCATCAGTCTACACTCAGTAACCCATGATGACAAAGTGAAAACATACTTTTTGGAAGGTTTTGCTAATTTATTAACAATCAAAAACTGAAATCTCTCGTGTACAAAGTATTCACACCCTTAATTCAACGTCTTTTTGGACACCCTTTGGCGTCTTGTTCAGCAATTCACGCATTAATTCTCAATGAATGAAGTTCAATG